ACATCCCACTTCTGCGACCAACAAGCGAAACTAGGATCATTGTTGTGTACTTGTTTTTTAATAGTCTTTGGAGTGGTGTTAGTGCTTGCATATTTTCATAAAGATATCATGAAGTGATAGAGTGAAACCCTTATTTCATAAATAGTTTTCTGGAGAAAACGTTTCTCAATATTTCTTCCATCTTTTTACAGTTGGAATTATTTTTCTAGTTATTGTACACCTGAATCAGAAAATGAAAAAGTTTATTTGCCTCACATCTAATCTCAAGTTGTTATTTAGTATCATCCTTACATTCCAAATTTCATAGAATTCATATATCTTGTTTCAAATACTGCAAATTAGACAGTGATTTCAATTCTTTGGTATCTGAAATTCTCACCTTGCCACAGCATTTTCATATTTATATTAGGTAGGTTCCAATTCCATGGATATGTTCAATATTCACTGAGTGATATTCTAACACAATAACACAAAATAAAATGTATTATTCAATATCAACCAAGACCTAACCTCTGGATTTAATTGCCCCATTTGATACTGTTGTGAAAAACACTCAACACGTTCGTTACCAAGAAATGTAATTTCTATTCGAACATTGAATATTTTTCCTTGATTATTTTCACCATCTGATGAGGTTATATGTTTTGTGTAATATCACAGTTTTTGAGTCATAAAACTGGTACTTATTTCAAAACTGAAATCAGCTTTATATTTCTGCATTGAACTTTATCAATTGCATTCGTTTCAGTGCAATAAAAATCCCAATTGATCGTTAGTGATGTGAATGCTTTTCATGTCTCATCAAAGCTTATATCAGTTTGAAACTCGGCACGTGAATATTTTTCACTGATGAGCAAAGTCATTTAGTATTTTTGTAATTGTAAATGTCCACTTCAAGTATTTTACAGCTATATTTTTGTAATTATTTATTAATAATTTATTCTGTATCGAATGTCACTAAATATGTTTATTTATTTTTGAATTCCATCAACACATTGATTACTGGGTGATTATAAGTATCTGTATTCTTTCAGCGATGTTCCCAGATTAATGAAAGAGAAAAGGCTTTTGATACTAAATATTCTAGTTTGTCTTCTCATTATTACTCCCCCTGCATATATCTGGTTGTTATTTTTCCAGTTGGAAGTATTACCAGGGGTAGTAACTGAGAAACCAATTTTTTTAAATTTTTGTTCTATAAATTTCATCATTTTTTTAATTGCCCAGTGAAAGAAGTTTTGATTCACCCTGTCATACTTTATTCATGACTGATTTAAATATCAACTATCGATTTTGTGATAATCAAGTAATAATTATAATTTTTATAGTGCCAATTTAGGTTTTATTTTAATCAATTTGATCAATTTAGCCATTAATTTATCTTGCCATTTTTCTCTTCTATGCAGTTTTGATGAACCAACTTCTGTTCTAGATAAACAGCCTTGAAAAGGCTAATAACAGTTAGTTTGCTGAAATGTTGGTAAATTTTGTATGTCATATCAAAGCTTGTATTATTTTTGTCCTATATTCGTTAGCTAAAAACGCCAGTGAAGATTTGTGTCTAGAAAAGTAGTTTTAAATAATATAATCAGATGTAATAAGTTTACTTGCAAGCCATAGTGATAAATATTAACCCATGACAAAAAAATTCTGCTAGCAATGGTTTATCGATACTTCTACACAGAGAAAAGTGTTCGGTTTGACCAGTTTTCGTTTTTGGACGGAATGTTCATCATTATATGTTGATCTCCAAAGTAATATTCAAATCTGTAGGAATCTCAAGATATTTTTGTCAACTGGTCGGAGTATTTTTTGACTTGTCCTATACAACATCCTAAGTTGAATGAATGCAGTTCTTCAATAGCCTGATTTCTCCTACAAACTTGGCCTAAGTAGTGACATGCTGGCTTTTATTTAGCATTCTATTGCGTGTCCAATTGCCTTTCCGAGGGGTTATTCTCGAACTGTATTCTCATAGAACAATTTTTGTGATTTTGTATGTTTGCGGCAACTTTTTCAAACAACTAATTTATTAATTTTTACTCCTCGAAAATTATATTTATATTGGATATTTTAAATACGAAATTTTGTTGAATAGATGAACACATTGTATGTATTAAGAATTGTAAAATGCACTCTATATATACATAATTATATAAATATACATACATGCCATTTTCATTAGAGGTTTTATTTTTGTTCGATTGTTTTGTTTCGATGAATTGTTTTTTTAGCAGCACCGGGACCCCGCTTGTAGTAATTGTTACAGTAATGATGTGTACCACCCAAGAAAATTGTTCAATGTTCTCATTATTTTTTTAAATATATTACTTTAAGCAATATTAGATGTATTGATTCCCTTGCGTAAATCCACTACGGAAAAAGTGCAAATTAATTTCGAATCCAGATAGAAAGGGGCTTCTTTGTAGAATATACTTTCAATATACCATAGGGAGGGGCGCCCCCTCCCAAATTTATGAGGAGCCCCTCTCCTATTTCTGATAACAGAAGTTCACGATGAATACAAAAAAAATATGAAAAAGAACAATGTTATTAAAAACTCAAAAATCATACGTAACTATAGGATTTGTTAGGCATAGTCTGCAGGTTTGTGGAGCTGATGTTTCATCTGCAACTGCGACAGATATTATCAAAAGTGATGTGGCAACAACGCAACATATTTGCAGCGGGACTGAGAGTTCTATGCTCACAAAGAAGATATTGCAACGGTGAGTCCATTAAGTCTAATAGTTGCCAACTTTTTCATGGAATAATTTAACCGACAAGCTTTAGAAGATCCAAGAAAATAATATGCAAAATTCGTGGAATATATTCATTCCTGGAACCCTAAAATCCAGGTTACGATAAAGAAGAGGAAAGAACATTAACTTTTCTGTTTGTATTACTGGAAAGACGGGAGAATGACAATCTGGGAAATGGACTTTACAGAATGCTAACTCATATAAACCATTATCTGACCATGTCAGTCATAACAGTAAAGAGGTTTCTATCTACCTTCCACAATTTGAAAAATATGAAAAGGTGTTCTTAAAACTTTGGTGCTCAATACATTGTAAGGATGTAAAGAATAAAGCTCGAAAATTATTACTTGCACAAATTCGAGTATAAATGACGTTGAAGAAAATCAAAAAGTTTTTTTATTATTTAATTTGACATCTGACATGCCATGCCATTCTGGCGAATCTTGTTATTAATGATGTAACTATGAATCGTTTTTGAGTATACATTCGAATACGATTTAATGCCAGGAAACGCCTCATAATGGATTCAATAGTTGTAGCGTTATCTGCGTTTCAACCCAAAATTTGTTTCTACAGGTACACCAATTTTTTGGAATATTTTTGACGGTTATATTCAACTTTTGAATTATCAAGGAAATAAACTTTACTCTTTCCGAGAAACGTTTACAGGGAGATGAAATCAATCAGACCTCAAGACTCAACACCCTACGCTGTCACAGAAACAAACGGTCAACAGAAGAACATTTTTACTCTTCTTAAGTGCTGTGATAGACCAGACTCAAAAAAACAATGAATCAGTGCCATTTTCAATTTCACTGAGACAATAGAAAATAGTCTCAGGTCGGCTGAAACCAATACAGGAATCCAGAAAGTATACCGAATAGCTGCTGGTTGTGATTCTTTCTACATTGGCAAAACGAAAAGAAGAGTTAAAACGCGTTTGATGAAGCACCCAGAAGACATTCATGACCGTTCCTTTGAGTTCAAACAAGTTCTAGATAAAACCAGAGGAAATCTATACACATGAAAATAATTTTAATGGCATTGAAAGAGCTCCAATGTCAATAAAACATGGATACCGGCACTTCATTGCATAAAGGATCGCCTAATTATTCAAAGAGTCTGATCAAGTAGGTAAGAAGACAGTGGGCTCTCTGATATCCAGTTCGATTACAAAAACGAACTCATAGGGCCATTTTCAGTTGCATATCGCAGCAATAAACATCATTTCGACCATTGCCGCATCGAGTTTGATAATGGCTGCCGCAGTTCTAGACGAAAAGTAAATCATGGAAACATGCAAACCACCGCTAATGAAGCCGAAAACAACAGAAAATCGGTTGAACACCAACCGTGAAAGCATACATACCATTATCTAAGTACAGATCTTTCATTTCAAGCTTTTTTATCATCGACTGAGCTCAACTTGTCATTTTAGAGATCCAAGTTTGGAGTTGGACCAAAATATAGTGCAATAAAGATCAAAACGATTTTTAAAAAAACTTGATTGAGACAACACGGTAATATGTTGCATATGATCATGTATCATATCATAAAAAAATAGAACATATTCAGATGAGAGATGTCCTTTGGCCACCCTAGAATATGATTGCCTGATTGCCATATTTAGATATGATGTTCAATCAACCACATGAAATAAAATAATTTCAAAAAAATAAATATTCTCTCCCTCACAAAAGCTAAACACTTAGCAGGAAAACTGTTTCTGCAGTATCGCTAAAATTTGTTTTATTTCGCACTGGCTGCAGTCCAATTGAAAATAATGCCAGTGTTTTGAATCTATCTCATTTTTATTGAGGTTTCAAAAAGCCTATATAGATCATGTTCCGCTGAAACTTCAGAATTCCAATAGTAAGGTATCATTATAATGGCTAAGTCATGTTTAATATAACTAGATAATTTTGAAAATGATATTAAATTATCATGCAAATTGTTCAAGATAGTAGAACCATATAAAAATAAGCAAATTTATTCAATTCAGGGACAATTATCTGTTCTCTGCTCGTTGATACAGTGACTCTGTGGTAGTTGTGAAGATTTTGTGAAATTAGTGAAATGTCAGTCAAACAAACCAAATCCATCAAAAAACAATTTTTGTTTCTATGGTATGCGTGTAGCATTTGTGGAACGTATCACAGATTAAGGAACGTATCAGACAACTTTATTGGATTGGCAACAGTGTTGGTGACAGGTGATCATAGATAGACTGTCATTGACATGATGTGATGTCACTGTTGTTCGTTGTTTATTTGAAGTTGTTTTGTCTGAAGTAAATATGTCGGAATACGACAGTATACGCAGGGGAAAATTAGTTTTAAAAGGAGAAAAACAAAAAAGTAGAAAACGTAAACATAAAAGTAAAAAACATGAAGAAGAAGCTCCAAAAGTTGATCTTGATCGAGTGAAACACGGAAACTGGTGGAAGGTGACCAAAATAGAAGAAATATCCGGACCAATTGCTATAGAATTTGGTGACCAGACATACGTTAGCGCATTAGACAATGGTCTCTTCACTATTGGAGCCCCACATAACGAAGGAGATGGTCCCTCTCCTGAAGAAATCCTTACTGCTGTTCTGGTAGACGAAAAAAAAGTTGCCTTTAAATCAGGATACAATAAATATCTACGAGTGGAGAAAAATGGAATCGTAACAGGTCGATCTGACGCTATCGGCCCCATGGAACAATGGGAACCTGTATTCCAGGACGGCAAAATGGCCTTGCAATGTGCTAATGAGTGTTTCTTGAGTATTGACCCGGAAGATGATTCGGTAGTAGCAAAGACTCGAAGAGCTGGCCCCGAACAATTTCTTACACTCAGATCACAGACGGTGAAAGAAGAGAATCCCCTCAAAGACGTTCCAAGTGAAGAACAGGGTAATATTTCGCAAATAGAAATAAATTATATTAGGAAATTCCAGAAGTTTCAAGATAAGAAGTTAAAAATTTGTACAGAGGCTAAAGACGTACTGAAGAAAGCTAAAGAAGAAGGTAGTTTACACGAAGCAATGTTGGACCGCAGATCTAAAATGAAAGCAGACAGATATTGTAAATAAAGCAATTTTAAGAGTAAATGGAAATTTTAAAAATAAGTGTAATGATTGTAAACATAAGAAATAAATGAAATGAAAAAAGTTGGTGAATGATTTGTGGTCTGAATGTAGCGAGTATTTTTTATATTATATCCTTTAGAATTTACAAAATTTATTTAATTTCATATGTCCAAGAAAATGAAAGGCTGTTTTTTGCAAATCCTCATCTACAATGTGGGTTCTTTCAAGTATTTCTTTTCTTTGAAACCATTTTAAAATACGTGAATTGAAGAGTAATTAAGGTTAGGTAAGGTATGGTTGAAAGTAATTACAAAATTGGGAGATAAAGTACTTTCAAATTCCTAACTTCAAAGAGATGCATTTTTTATAACATAAAGGAGACAAACTTGTCCCTCAAAATTAATATCAATTTCATTGCTTTGATCTGGGAAAACTTGAAAATTATATAGGGTATAAAAATGTGGGTCTAATGAATGTAAAAATCAATTGAAGCTTTTAAAATAATTTAATTGATAGATTAAAATAAACTCAAAATTTCAGGTTGTAATTAACAGTTTGAAAAAGTGATGATTGCGGGATTCTGAATATCATACCAAAAAGCATTCAAAAATTTTTAAAATCTGTGATTCTCCTAATGTTTATACTAATTCTAGTGAATAATCATTCTCCATCTTGGTAACACTCAAAATTTTAATTTCAGGATTACAGTGCTGCCAATGTTAGAATTTTTAGAAGTTCCGATCACTTGCTTTGTTCGTAGGCCTCTTGATCAAATAACAAGCACAAGAACGTCGACGTCTTGAAAGAGTGACAGTTTAATCGTTTCGTAGTTTTCTCCAATAATTATTGGAGAAGAAATATTATCTCCACAGACTAATCAATCATCACAAGGAATTACTTAAGGTTAGGTATTATTCGAATCACAATTGTGAGCAATCAAAAAAGTTGCCATAACATCGTAGATATTCCCAAAAAAATTTAAAAAACGAGCTGGTTGAGAGATTAGTTATTAATGTAATATTACTTCACAAATAAAAAATAAAATAGATAGTTACTGAATGATTTTAAGGAACTATGGCAGTTCACAGTTATCACTAGAGAACATTTTAAATTAACAAAAGAAATTGATGACTAGTAAAACATATTCACGATATGAGTAATTGAACTTCTGAGGTTAAATTTAAGGTCATATTTTCGAAATTATTTTCATTGTACCTAGTAATAATTACAAACTGTTTTATTGATTGTTCTTTTTCCTTAAAAATGCAGGACGCAAATATAAGTATCAATCAGATTGTAAAATTATCAAAAAAAAATGATAATGCTTCAGTACACTTACCTACTTTTTTCTGTTACTTTGCAGAGTTTTGATATATCATCAATAAGTCATCATTTATAATTAAATAGGGTTCAACTTCACTCACTGATTAATTTATTATGATTAATTTAATGTGTGAGGATTTTAAACTTTTTGAAAAATAAATTCAAAGTTTTTGAAGTACTTTCTTGTGAATACTACCTTCTTTATTCCGGAGCACTGACAATAATACACGATGAAGAAATGATTGACAAGTGGCAAGTGACGGCTATCGGATAGTTATGGTTGGTTGTTTCTTTTCAATCATAATAATACGAGTTATATCTGATTGGTTATTGAAGGCGCTCAATTTTTCAATCTGAATTTAGTGAATAATGTCGACTTCTTTGTTTTTTGTTAATACGTAAGTTTGAAACGTAAATAAATATCTAGTTCTGTTACTGTTTTTTTTTCTAGAGATTCAAACGAAGACAAATCAGAGCTACAATGTGTGGACGACCAATCTCAGACTCAAAGCGAAGCCCAACAAGCTTTGCAACACTTTTGGCCAAAAGTTATGGACGAAATCAGATCCATTCGTAATGTACTTTTTTAATAAATACTTTTACACTCTACTGACGTTGTTTAAATGATTTATTTTTAGATGGATCTGAAACAACAAGTACTACCTTTGGCTCGAATAAAAAAGATTATGAAACTTGATGAAGACGTCAAAATGATTAGCGCTGAGGCTCCTTTGCTGTTCGCAAAGGCTGCAGAAATTTTTATACATGAACTCACATTGAGAGCTTGGATTCATACCGAAGACAACAAGAGAAGAACTTTACAGGTACGATATGTTGGGATTGTCAAAGTAATTGGAATATTCTTGATAAAACATGAAATGTGAAAACATTCAGCAATTTTATTGGGAAGTAAGTGATTTTCTTCGATTTTTATTATAGAATGTGGAAGAACAATAAACAAAATCGGAAAGAGAGGTTTTGGCTTTCTATTTTATCTTCATAAAAAATGAAGGTGGACCTTTTTTATTACAGTGTAATGACAAAGCAGTGACTTGTATAAAGTATGATCAGATGATGAAGGTGAAACTTTTTTATTGTAGCGAAATGATATAGCAATGGCCATTACAAAGTATGATCAGTTTGATTTCTTAATCGACATTGTGCCAAGGGACGATATAAAACCAACCAAGATTAGAGAGGATGGGACAACAGCGCGTAGTGGAACAAATCCAGATCAGGTATGTTTGTGGTCAATGCCTTTAATTTAGTTTCTTCAGTTTCATGTTATTTCAGGTCCACTACTATTTCCAATTAGCTCAGCAACACCATGCTAATTTGCAACAAAATAATACCTCCACAACCTCAGGTTCTACAACAACCGTAACACAGCCTCAAGGAACCATACAAATTGTTCAGCCACAACAACTTCAAACAGTACAAGTCAGTGCTATTGAGCAGGTGATTAGTAAATTTCATTGTATTTTGTGTTGAACATTAAGGTAATTTCAAAATGAGCTGGAAAATTATGGTGCAAGGGGTGTTTATCAAGAACTTATTAACTCCTATAACGAATTGATTGAATTGAAGAACTAAATCAATGCACATCCAACACAGTTTACTTCGGGCAAAGAGTACCCCAGGGCTCAATTCTTGGACCAGTCCTTTTTCATTTATATGTTAAAAACTTAGCAAAACCCTTCAATCTAGGCAATGGATATCAGCTGTATCTCAAATACCAAGTGGTCTGATAAGTATAATTTTGAATTTAACAAAACAGGGGTCTTTTTAATTTTCGGCAGATATATAGAATTTTCATAGATAAAATTTTAAAAAAAATCGATACTGAAATACAATAAATACAACCCCCAGCTTGAAAAATTCAATGTCACTAAGAATAGATTACAAATCCGGATTTTATGATGTATTATTAATAGTATTGTTATGTAAATCTGTGAAATTTACAAATGGTGTAACAAAATCGAGCTTAGATCATTGTAATATTCTTGCTCTTCTATGTGTTCGAAATTGTGAAAAACAGAGTTGAAAAAATTGCCATAAAATATGTTTCAAGAGGATTTTGTGGCGTCTTTTCACATAAAACAAATAAATTTAAGTATTGCTTGATGCATAAAGCAATTACAGTCAGATTCAGTGACAAAGCTAACTTTTCATTTAGCCTAACTAATTGACATAAAAAAACTGAATGTATAATTTGAAAAAACAATTAACTGTGGAATTTAATATTAGAAATGCAAATAGTATTTCTCAAAATAATATTGATTCGAGTAAAGGAGAAAATATCCAGAAGCTCTACAAAATTCCTTAACAAATAATATGTAAAATATAAAGCTATAAGCATTTAAATAAATAAGTAAAACATAAATATTATTTATTTTCATTCTTCATTATCAATTGGTTCACGTGGACTTTTAGTTTTGGGTTCTACTAGAATTTCTAAAAGCAAAAAATTCTCGTGTATTTACCTGTCTTTGATTTATAACAAAATCGTTATACAAACTATAAAAATGGCTAACCAAAGTTTTAGCAAAATCAACTTGACTGTATTTTTATATTTTATTATCAACAAATGAATTTGATTCATTGAATAAACATACCTTTTTTTATTCATGATATTAGATTAATCTTACCATAATAGATTAGTGAGAACTGTACCCAAATCGGTTGATGCCTTTTCAGTTTAATGTGCACAAATGCACAGACAAACAGGCAAATACATAAACAACAGATGATTTTTACTTTTATTATTCGTATTGATTAAGAAATATTTTTTAAAGTCAACTTTTGAGTTATTTTTAATTAATTGTATCTTCTTCAATCATGTAATTTTTTTATATCTGAGCAGGCTTTTTGATCGAATCCTGTAATTTATTTAGTCAACTCTCAAACAGACTGTGCTATTTGTTAGGTGTGGAGCATTTCTCTATAAAAGTGCATTATTATTATCGTTTCTTTTAGAATACAGGAGATTCTTCACCTACGGCCACAACGACCCAAACTCCCGTGATCATCCAACAGAGTCAAACCATTCCTCAGAGTCAGCAAGGAAATGTTCAAATCATTCAACAGATTGTCACCCCTAATGGAGAAGTGCAGCAAATACCAGTAAGTTATGATTTTGATTACAATCATAAGATACAACGAAAATATTTATTGAAATAACATTTCTGTTGAAAATATGGACTCATATTAAAACTATGTTTCGATCACCAAGTGATCATCTTCAAGCGGAAGATTAAACTGTTTAACCTTCCTCTTGAAGATGGTCACTTGGTGATCGAAACACGTGTGGAGGTATTAAAAATAACGTTTTGGTGCCCGGATAAAACTCTAGAATATTCATGTCTTCGTAGGTCTTGCCTTTTTTTTAAAAATTCTCATGTGTCAGTCGAACTTTGTTCTTTCCAAATCGTCAAAAAGCATTCAGGAGTCTAGTGTTGCGTATTGATCTCAGAAAATCTATGACCATCGTTTCACTAGACTCTTGTGGTCTACCAAACCAGAATTTCAATAGCTTGTCAGTTCGACCAACATTCTTTCTTCAGCAATCCTCATAACGCATTTCATAAGTCACACGCTATCTATGGGATCGATCGAAAAGTTAAACCTTTCTCATCCAAGATAAGCAAGAATTCCCATGGTGATTTATTGCAGAGCCAAGCTTCAATATTGATCACCGAATGAGAAATCGATTTCTGTCTTTTTATGCAGCTTTTACTGCAAGAAACTGAAACCAGAGCTTATTTATTCAACTAGGTTGAACCATTGTTGAAATCAACTGTCCTTGAAGAACAAACCTGAGTAAAAGTAAGCGCATGGATATCTCCCCATAAGAAGATTCTGACTATTTTGATGTTTAGTTTTTCATAAATTTAATCCAACAGTACCAGTAAATTTTTAATTTCATTCTTTTTGAAAAGTTTTGTGCCGCCATTTTTTCTTCTACACAGTGATGAGACCTGTTAGAAATATATCTGCAAGTATTGCTATTCTCACTCTGTTTCTTACTGTTTGATTTCAATCGTCTTTTTGCCAGATATATCCGATTCAAGTCCATGGACGTAACTTGAATCCTCTCTTCGATCGATTCCATATCTGTCTATGAAGAGAACTAGGAGAAACTATAAATTTCCCATTGCCACACATTCTTGGGGTCTCTAGAAACCATTATTGAACTGAAAACAGAGTTTCATGCAGATTTGTATACTGAGTATATTCTTCCACCACTTCACTATCTAGATCTTTGATCTCCAAAAGATTTCTCAAACAATGAAATATTTCTTTGACAAGTCTACCTCAAAAATTGGGCTAATAAGAAATGTCCTGAATTTGCCAAAAACATAATAGTCAAGTATATTTTGGTGTTCCTTCAACAAGTGTTCATAATTTGAGACCCAGATTAGTTCCCGTCTTTAATTCCGAACATCATCCAAAAATGTTTGTACAAAAGAGTCTTTGAATACCTAAACGGTAATAATAATGATAACTCGACTTTTATTGAGAATAAATAATAAATAGTAAGAGATGAATGATAAGTTATCTGTCAAGGTTTGTCAGTTTGACTTAATTCTACATGGAAAGAATATCAAGATATCATTAAAATTACAACGTATCTCCAAAGATCCCAAAGGTATTACCCAAAAAATCAACCAATCGAGGTTGTTGGAACTTGATATAACTTAAAAATATATGATTGAATGTTTTTATGGTTATGGTATATTTGACACGGTTCTGTTGTAAAAAAATAGAGTTTAAAAAATTGTGATTAACAGGTCCATGATGATTTATAATTGAATTACATTTTCCAATGTAGTACAATTTTAGTTTTTTCAGTTTAGGTAGTAACATATGAGGTTAAATTTCTGATTATATTTATAGATCCAACTGACACCTCAGCAACTTCAGATGATAAAAATGCAGTTGCAAGGCAATTCTTCCCAACCCGTTATCATTCAAACAGCCCCCATTGGCACTGGGGCGCAGCCACAACTGATTCAAGTAAGGGTAACGATAACTTTTAGTAAAAGCCATTTTTATTTTGTTTCGTTTTGCAGGTTGCTCAACCGGCGACAACTGGGACACAACAAGTTTATATTGCACAAAGCAATAACGGTGCTGATACTGAATAGAACTAACGTATTTTAATATAAGGTTTTTAAAAGTGCTCGTTGTGGTTTTGGAATGTTGTAATTATTTATTTGTCTTTTGTTATAGGAAGTTGTAATATAGATTTCAGGATATATTGACAGTGTTTTTCTTGAGAGTTGGCATCTGTTTGCACTTATAATAATATAACTACTTTGACCAGATATTTTTCTCGAGAGAACTTACCTAGTTGAAGTCAGGATGATTTTCCAACGTTACATGGCTGACGGACTGCGAATAGCCATGATGTTCCCTGTGTGGCTCGGAGAATTAACAACATTGTCTACCCAGAACACGAGGCTAATTACCAATGTGGTCGATGCCGCTGAAACCCAAAGAAAAAAAATTAAGTTTATTGTGCAAAAGCAACTTTTATACTTGAAGGAGAAAAGGTCTTCCACCCGTCCCATGAATCAAAAATTAGCAACAGTAAGACTATGAATAACAGAAAAACAATAATTATGAAGTTTTGTAGAGAATTTCGATAATATTAGGTTGTTTCAAAAGTTATCTACATTTTGAGTCTACTTTAAACTGTAATATCTCGGTGGATACTCATTCAGTTTAATTGAAATAAGCGTACTTTTGCTATTTTGTTTCATTTCTTTCCGATTTGGAGAATCATTATTGAAAACAAGCAAGATATTTACCTTCCATTTAATAAATGAGATACCTTAAGGACACCACATTTAAAAATGATGAAATTTGCCTATTTGCACGTGTTGTATTTTACATCAGTTAATAAACCCCCTACTCAGAAACCAATAGATTCAAGTTTCTTGAGTAGTCGCTCATGATTCACTGGTTCAAAATTTTATAACCAATCTTTCAATTCCTATCTACCTCTAATACGAAATCAGAAATATGTAAATTTGAAGATATTATTTTGACCCAGTTAGCCGTAATCAGACAGAATGACTTTTTCTGGAAATTCTAAATTTGTTACGTAATTGAATATAATGTGTCTCCATTGATGACACTTTGATAATAACATCTTTTGTTATTCAGACGCTATTTTACAAGTAATATAACTAGAAAACGAAAATAATCAAAATTCAGAGCATTTGATTTATATGGTTTTTTTTTATTGTGGGATTGTACTTCTTGACGAGTGCTAGTTTCCATTCTCTTTCGTCATGTTGGAAAATGCTCAGGTTTTTCTAGATTTGACAAGCTGTATGTAAATGTACTTACTCTATATTTATACAGTAATGATTCACTTTAATAATGGTGAATATTAAGTATATAGTGAATTTTAAAAATGTTTTTTATAAAACTTTTTAAAAAAGGTGAGTATTTTTCTAGAACTACAATGGTTCTTCACTTTTTGAGAATATATTTTCAGATGTTGGTGCATCGCTCCCAAAATGGACATGAAAGATATTGTCTAGGATATATTTCCAAAGTAAAAAAAATCTCCATAATATAAATTAGAAAAAGAAAAATATTATTTATTTAATGAACTCTGAAATCCCTTCAATGACATAGTCACTTTTATTTTAACCTAGCCAATTCCTTATTTGGTTTCTTTTATTCCTCAATGCCATCAAGGTAAAGTTATCACACATTGAAAAAATGAATAGTCCTGCATGCAGAATAATCGGTACCATCAGTCTTGGTTATAAAGGAATATATTTTCCCAAAAACTCCTACTATTGAGTCTCCAAATATTTGATGAGTCACTGATTTGAAGGAAAATAATGTTTTTTGTTCTACTTACGAACTTTTTTGCATTAAAATTTTCATTCAAATATTTATAACGAACTTTTTTGCTTTATTAGTTTTGCCTTTTGACAGTCTGGATTCGGACATACTCATCATTCAGATTGCTAGTCTGAAGACACATGAAAAAGGAGCACAAGCTATTCCATCTCAGCATTTTCTCGATGAGTGTAAAACTCAAAGCCATTTAATCCTAAATTTATTTATCTTGGCCCTTTGGAAATTCTTCTATACCTACTTATCTTGATGTTTATCCATTTCAACCAAACTTTGAGGGCTTATACGAAATGATCTTTTTGTAACCATCATCATTTTCGTTATTAATCTGGTGAAAGCAAAAAAATTCATTCACGAAACCCAGATGATTGATAAAAGCGGTGTTTGAAACAGAAACTTTATAAAAACAACTGTAAAAAAGGTAAATAGACTCTTCTAAATACATTTTGAATGTCATTTTTGGCCAATATTCTTATGACTACTCATATTTCCAGAATTTTTATGAGATATATGGAAGTGCCAGGCAAATTTATTTTCTCGGAAAAGGTCACTGCTACTGGAAATCAACAAGAGCACATTTTTCATTTGAATGTGATAGACCTGCTGGACAATTAAAAACTCACATATTTGCGAAAAAACATATGTAGGCGTATGCAGAAATATTTATACACAAATTATTGAAGCATAGCTTCAATAATACAGAAATGAAATATGATAATTCAGGAACTTACCTGAAGAATTGAGTACTTCTTGGACCACCTTATGTAGAGCACTGTTCTAAAAAATATTTTTTTCTATCGCTATTGAAAAAAGCGTTAATCATGTTACCATTTCTTGTTGTGCAAGTAGACAAAATGATCTATAATTCACATCTTCGAAATAATCATAGTTGACTAGATTCATATAACTACCTCGAGACAAATAACAGAGGTGCAAATTCATTACAGTCGTGTTTCAATTATTTTTAACCGCAAGTAAGCCTAGAAACTTCACCCAATTCAAAATATATTATCAAACGTCAAACTTAATCATTATAAACTGACAGTTATTTTCAAAATATCTAGTTTCCAATGCAAAAAAAGGAAAGAACGTCGACTCGAGAATCGAAAACGTGTGTACAGCAACAAAAATTTGTAATGTACCGGAAAAATTAATATTTTTCGAAAGATTCATCTTTCAATAACAAAATTAGAATAGCTTGAAGCTCAAATAGTTTTACAAATGCTATAGCAGGGGAGCCCACGATGCAAAATGGGGATTTACTCGAGCGTCATTGAGACATATTAGGTTGCAAAGCTTAGATGATCAGAAGAAAAAAATGTTATATAATATATACCTTTTCATTGGTGGGGGAAGCGGCTATAGATGTTTAAATATGTGAAAAATACTGTTGCATGGACATACTCGAGCGCGTCAGATATTGATAGCATCAATGTCCTACGTATTTTTAATTATGTTGGTATGTTAATCTGATCGTTTGCATTTATATATTTTTTATCACTTTTATTTGTAACTAATAACATTACTGCAGTTTCGTCCTATAAGGACATTTTTAAACTTATATATTGTATAAGGACATTTTCAAACCTATATATTGTATATAGGTAGTTACAAATAAAAGTGGTAAAAAACATATAAAGTTTAATTTATTTTTTCTTCGTTATGATTTCCTACCACGTAGTGGCGGCTACATTCATTAATTAATTGAATAATTGATCTTCATTTTCATCACGAACGAGTCTCTGTGATCAGCTGTGATGGCGTCATGGCAACAGAATTCAGAGTGGGGACGGATAGTGAGAGTAATAGATAGAGGAAGAAGTGAATTAAAAATAGAGGAATAGAAACTCGGAGAGGGAAATATAGGTATCACACAGCTGCACGCATTAAACTTTATCGACGAATTTTTCTTATTTCGGCTTGCGGAAATCGTCAGATTATATATTTTTCGTTATCCTTGAATTATTTCCTTCTAAATAAAAAAAAAAATAGGTACGCTCGAGAATGTCGAATTGACGTTGTTTTTTTTACAACTTTGCTGCCCTTCCCTTTCTTTACGTCATTCTCAAATTGTCAGATTACTGGAATATACACTTTTTAGCAGGTAACTAACTCACCCTACCTTAATCTGAGGCGCTCGAGAATTTCTGATGATCAATTTTTTTTTAATAATCTGATCCTTTATCCCTCACAGGCGGCCTTATATATGGGGCTCATGTTTGGTGGATGTACTTAACCGGGTACAAGGTATCCCCCTGTATATTAATCTGCCGCGCTTTAGTAAATCCCAAAATCCCCGCTTGGGCTCCCCTATTACTGGATTCAAATGCTACTGAGGAGATATTTTTTTACCGTTACAATCTTCAAACCATTTGTCACAGAAAAAGTCAAGTATTTTACTCGCGAGAAATGATTATCACTCGCTCGAATGATTTACAGTGACATTTCTCGCTCGTTGAACAATATTAGCCATCCCACTTAATAGGATAAAATACGAAAAAAAATGCACCACTTCAAACAAACATTGACTATTTTTAAATTTCAATGTGATATATATTCTAGCTTTTTCGTACATTTTGTGTTTTGTGCGACAAAATAAAGACTGTGTGAGCTGATTTGAATTCGTTAAAAACGCCCAGTGACTTTCCGTTTTAAACTACCCCAAGTTGGCCACGACAGAGATTCGTTATTTTTCGCGTAGTTTCGATTGGCGGTTTTTTCTTCTACGCAGTCTCCGTTCTCCGAAGTTCACCATATCGTCGTATACCACCTGCAAGCAGAAGCTTGTAGACGTTATTTCTTTGATTCACGTTTCAAACACTGCAATTATTTGCAAAAGGTCGCAAACAAATTGAAATAAATAGTGCTAGTCATTTACGTATCACCAAGAACACAAAATGAGTACAGAAAATGCGTCTGCTGCTCTGAATTTGGAGAATTGCAGAGTGGTTTTGCTGGATATTACCGGCACAGCTATCTTTGTCCACAGGGTAAGAATTTTTCGTTTTTTATCATAAACATCGCAGAAGTTGCTCGATTTTATAATAGGTTGTAGAAATATTTCTAGGTTTTATTTGATGATTTGGGATAGGCGTTATCGTTATTCAATTTTTCAATGAATAAAATGGCTAGCTGGGAAATTTCTGCAAAAAGACATTTTTTAGCTTTCCATACTATTTCGCTTGTGAATAGCTCGTATTTTTCAATTTGCACGAGTTTTGAGCCTAAAGGATATGTGGTCGGCCTTGAGCCAGGTAAAAATTCAGCCCTTGTTCCACACATAGTGCATTCACATCTGTACAGTCGATTCAAAATGTCTTGCAACAATTTGCAATATGCAAGAGATTTTCTCTTACGTATTTTTGTTTTTCCAGTTGTGGTGCAAGGAATGAAGGTTTGCTTGCTATTTTCGGGAAACTATTCTTCAAAACGAAAATTTCATTGATTAATTGAGACGTGATATATTTGCCATGCCTTTTTAATTATTTTTTTCAAAGGGGATCATTTGGTTTTATGCTAAATTTGAGTATTCCTCAATGATGAATCATGTCAACTAATTGAAATTCAATGTATGTCTCAGAGCACTTAACTAGAAGGAACTAACTAGTACTGTTATTCTTAGAAAAATGAATTGCAGGCAATATTCCAATAATAAGGTTATCTACCTATTTTTCTTTCTAAATTCTCTAGACTTTTTACTACATAGTGCGTCATTTACTTTTTGGGGCTAACTTTGATTTGATTAAAAAAATCATTCAATTTTTCAACTGAAAATTCAGTTCAATATATTGACATGGTAGTACCTATTGTTAACCTGGTTTGTAATTTCAAAGAGGATTCAGATTTACCCATGAACCACCTTTTTTGAAAGGGAACAATAGGTTAGTTCACTCTCTACCTGCATGTTTCCTTTTTGTTCATTTTCATTGTTGATGGATACATCTGGTCAAATGTTTTTCTCATGCATCTGTGATGTCATATCTTTACTTAAATTTGAATTACTTCCGAAATATTATGGTCAGCTTGTATTTGACAAATTTCAGGTCTATCACTTTATTTCTCTAATTACTAAAGGTGTAAATATGAATCCAAAGATTGTAACCCTAAAATGAAAAATTAATTATGAAAAAAATTATACCTCCTTATTAAAACTATCTACTGAGTACATTTTCTTCCAGCCCTGTCCCATATACAGATTTATAACTCCCAATTTGTTATTGTAAATTTGTAATAGCTGTGAAAATACTTGTAAAATTTAACAGAAAGATGCTGAATGCAAGCAAAAGTTGATAGTAATTAGTATGGCAACTGTTTACGAGAAAACTCACCTAACAGCTACTATCATTTGAAATGCAAAAGTTTATTAGTGATTTCAATGCTTCATGTATCCAAAAAGCCTAAAAGATGTTTTCCTGACATAAAGTATGTTGGTCAAACTAAGTGAACCGTATTAACACATTTCATGGAACATGTTTCACATATTTGGTTAGTAAATCAGAGAAATCTAGTTTAGCTCAGGCTGTTTTAGCGAATGGCCACAGAATAGGTGATCAACAGGTATTTAGAAACATTTCAAAGTGAACAGCGATAATGGTTCTATTCCAAACAAAATCTTGTTCACCCTCTGACATATCAGTAGTTGAATATTAGGCCACTAACATATGAATTAGTAATTATGATAATATTACAAGTTAACACAAAGGAAAAGGAAAATTTCACTTTTGAGTTTTATATTTTATATCACATCATTAATATTAAAACAAACTGAAAATGTTTGGAAAAAGTTTTGGCTTTCTACTTCTCTTCTAAAAAAAGAAGAAAAAAGTCTTTACAGAGGTAGATGTGTAGTTCATGCAAAGAAGTAACTTTCCCAAAAATAATTCTTTTCTTGAAATATACCCCTTTCAATTTTGAGAACAGAAAATGATGGTGTTGAAGAAGATGGCTATGATGGAAAATCCCTCCCTCCCCCGTCTCAAAGTCTTGATAAAATTTATATATAACTCTCATGTGATTTTTTTTTGTAGAAATTTGGCAGACTGATCATTAAAAAATCACTCTTCTCGAATCCATTCAGTAGAAAATGAAAATCTTTCTCCGTTTTTGAAATTGATCACACGGGAGATGAGAAGATAGAGATGTATCCCTGTTTAAAATCTGTTTTTCCATTAATCAGCTGTCACCCCCATTCGAACGACAACTCTCAGAAGTTGAGAAACTTGTGCGAGCTAACGAGGTCTTACCTTTTAACGTGTGATTCCTAACACTTAAATGCGTAATAAACACCATACCTTTTGCAATCCAATTAAAACAAAAATAAATATATTAAATATTTTGGTGATCGAAACACGTGTTGAGGTGTTAAAATAGCGGTTCGGTGTTGGGATAAAACTCCAGTCATACTACACCAAAGGTACCAAACAGTGCATCACCAGAATGTAATGTGAAAATAACATCACAAGTCAGAAAAAATGAAATATTTTATTTTGACGTAAGTGCAATGGAATTAGCATCATACAGACATCAAAAATAAGACTCCTGTTGGGCTTGCTCATGAAAATTAATGAAAAGTATGATGAATTGAAGTGAAACGTCTGTAAAATGTCCAGTTATGAGATTGAACGATTTTCCACATTGATTTTTTTTTATTGATTCATCTTGCAAATAAAGTAATCTTATGGTAATCTTATCTTGGGTTTATATTTGTAAACGGGTTACCCCAATACAGTTACGAAATTACAAAAAATATCAAAATATCTAAAATGTATAAACTAAAATAACATAATAAAATAAAATTTTAACATTGCCACTAATTATAAATAAATATCAATTGAACAACAATCTAGCTACTTGTTTTTTTAAATTAGGCTTTTTGCAAAAGAAATCAGTATTACAACATAAATTTCCCAGTCTCCACATATTTGAGATGGGTGAATAAAAGCAAATATCAAATATTCTTATTGAATTACAACAAAATTGGTTTTATCGCTTTGAAGTTATTGATTTTTTTCCCAGTTTCACTTCGGTTCAGAGAATAACTGTGGAATGGATTTTATTTGTGTAATAATTTAGACTTTTCTCTTTTATCCTGTGAAAACTTCTGTGAATCCATGTTGAAACATTTTCTTTTTTTTTTAATAGAGTCTATCTTTAGTAGACGATGTATTTATATTGGAAATAACTGAATTTTATTTCTTCAAAAGAGTTACATCAAAAAGTTTGAAACTGTTGAAAAGCATTTTTCTGAATATGGAAACATTCCACAAGATGAATTTTATACTGAGCGTGTGTGAACGTTTCAGGTTCATTTAAGTATGCATATCTTGGGTAAAAACCTTCAAAAACTCAGATTATAACATCAAAATTCCAAATATGTTAATCTGGTTAAAATATAATTGCCAGTTTCACCATTGGAACTATCAACTTTACCAAATTCACTGTAGCATAACTTTTACTGAAAAACAAGCAAAAATTCTGAGTTGAATTCGAGCAGTTGACTTGTTTATGAAAATACTTCATAATCAGCTATTAAATTATCAACGCTATGATTTCATTTTTATACATATTATGAGTCTGTGATTTCTCATAATTTTTGATTGAATAAATGAGATATCATTAGTAGCTGCTGACCTCACATTGCAAACTTACATTCACATCAGATGATTCTTGAGTTTGAAAATTATGTCAGAGAATTCAGACATTTTTTTAAATAAAGGGCAGGTGGTTAAAAATAAAAAAGGCAGTTTAAACTGATGAGATCAAGCTGTTATCTCCAGATTGTGAAATACATTTTTGTTCCGACACTGGTGATAAAATGGAATTACAATTGTATAATTTTTCTCAGTTGACTCACATTTTTTTTAACAAAACAAAGAGAGAAATCTAATATCTCTATCACAACAACTTTTTTTATTGGGCGATCTTCTAAGTCCTAAGAAACAGCTGCTATTTTGATTATTTTTTCAATTTGAAAATCAGAAGCATTTTGAAGAGGGACATAATAATGTTTTATATTGTTTAAGCGATATGCTTGATACATCACCCTATCTTCAAATGTACCAGTGATCATTGTACAAAATGTAATCTTTCTCCTCCGGGTCCCAGTCCCTCCAAAATGTCAAAAAAACCTCCAGCAGTTGGAATTTTGTATTTTTCAAATACTTATCTGATTTATTCATAAATTCTTATTTCAATTTCAGTCCACTGCAAAAAAAATCTATTTTAAAACCCTTAAAATCTTTTGTAAAATAAGGCATTTTAGTGTATTTTCAAATTATCTTTCTTGGAACCAACCTCAAAATTATATCGACCAAGAAATCTGTTAGACCTGGACTGCTTATTTAAAATGAAGATGTGCCGTTCTATTTACTCTACAAAACATTTGAAGAAATATTCCTCAATATCTTGTGTAGCTGATTGAGATACTCATAAAAGCATGATACTAGGTAATCCAGTAACTTGAAAACTGCAGAAATTAAAACTGAATTTGGAAGAAAATCATTATACTCTTAAGGAATAACAAGTATGACTACTAAAAATATCAACTTCTTCCTTAACTAAATTAAAAATTGATTAAACAACTGACTTTTCTTCATTTCCGTTTTTTTAATATTCATTTTTTGTTGATAATGTTGAGAGTGTTCATGTATAATTGTTTATTTTTTTTGTTATCGTCAAACATTGTACGTTTTTTGGGATCAATAAACATTAATTGTTTGTGAAAAATGCAATTTTTCATGTTTTTTTTGTTGAAAATTTTTTTTGTATGTTATTTACTATAACAGTACATCAGATATCTACATAATACCTGTGGCTCAATGTTGAGATGGTTTTTGATAGATATACTAATGATGGAAATTGAGTGTCTGAGGAAAATTGTAAATATATAAGTTTAACTTCAGTTGATTTACTATTTTAATGAATATATGTATGTTTCTAAAGCTACAATTTCACTAACATGGAACACTGTCGTTATAAATGGCAGACATCCGATGTTTAGGAATAAAACACTTGCATCTTCACCAACAATCTTGATAACATTACAACATGAAGCACACAAATCGTTCATAAAATTACGACTCTATATCAGGAATGAGTTGAATCTGATAGGTATTGAAAAATTTCACGAAGCCATTTTTTATTATAAAACGTGGATGTAGTATAACATCCAGTGAATGCATGAATAAAGAAGAGGTAATTAATTGTAAAATCAAGATATTTTATTAACATAATTCTCAAATAAACTCATTGTAAGATAGCAAATGTTCAGTGGTTTAAAAATACATCAATTTATCATTGAGTGCAAAAGTCATCAATATTATTAACATATCAATACAACAAGTATATCATAGAATATTTCTTATTTATAGGTGATTTTACAATTGAATAATCCTCAGAACTTTCTGCTGCTTTGCTTCAATGAGTACCTATTATTTTTTGATATTTTTTTACAAGGAAAACTGATGAATTGATTTACCTTTTTATTTTCGCCAGTCCCTAAATATTTCTCTTTAGTTGTAATTAAACACGTATATTCTTTAAACAAATGATGGATTGAAGTATAACCTATATATTTATAATTTCTCTCAGATGCTTCAATTACTCCTTTATTATATACACCAAAAACAACTTTAACATTGGTGTTATAGTCGCGTAAGTAAGTAAATATCTAATGAATTTGGAAAATGAAGGTTCTTGATTTTCTACTTCTCCATCTTTGTACAAAATGAACTCTTTACAAAGATATGTAGATTATGCATAATAGTTATTAGATACAAACTGAAAGAAAAAGCCTTTCTGAAACAACTACTCTCATACGAATGTTGAATTAGACGAAGAACCTTTTCGAAAACAAATCACAAAAAATGAATTTTTTATATAAACATCATAGAGATTTAATACTTCTATTCAAAGTTATCAACGGACTGAGTATCAGCCCTGAGCTTCTATCCAAAATATCTTTACATGTCCCCAATCTTTCAACTAGACAGGTGCAAACGTTTTACGTTTCTATTCACAGATTCAATTATTTATATAACAGCTTCTTTCCTAGAACTCAAATCTTTAATATATCAGTTTCCCGCTTAAAAAACCATATTCTTCACCTAGCCATCTAATACTCTCTGCTTGTGTTGTTGTATTGTGTCTAGTGTTACTTGCCTGTAAGAATTATATTAGTTCATATTGTTATACATTTAAATTTTTCTTAAATATTCTACTTGCTACCTTACTTTGAAATTGTATTATTCTTATAATTTACTTTTAATCCACTGTATTGCATACTACATAGCACTGTACTACTTATATCTGAATTGGGCTTGCCCGTGTATAAATAAATAAATAAATCATTTGAACAATCTGAATGATTCTGGTTTCGAAAGGTTTCTGATTTCAAATAATATAAAAAACAAAAGCATTTAAAAAATCATTAACCTCGGAGCTGTTTTTGAGGACTACCAAGGATAAGACTTTGTTGATTCAACTATAAATGAATAAAACAATCGTAAATAGTTTCAATCTCACTGGCGATGTTATTTTTTCATTCAGGAACCTGATTCTAAAGAACCAGCAGACGTCTACGATGATGTTCCTGATGCTTTCGAATCGTGGGCTAAGACTTGCAAGGTTGCCACATATTCTTCGGAGGAATCTCAAACTGCGACAGCTCAGAAGTCTCTGTTCTCCAGTATACCCAAAGGAAGCCTTACATCCCACATCACTACATATTTTGACAAAACTATCAATGATGAATCTCCGGCTGTCAATTTCTGTAAAGTCGCATCAGAAATGTCGGTAAATGTTGAAGAGATCGTTTTCATCACTAGTAACGTTGAGGGTAAGTGAGATTGAAGTATGTTTCAATTTGATATGTGTAAAGATATTCCAGTATTTTTTCCTGATTAGGCATTTTGAGGAATTCGCAGGGGTTTTTGAATGAAAAATATAAGTCATTTGAGCGAGTATATTTTTAAGTGAGTACTTTGGTTATAGAAATGATTTTGGATTTAATTTTAATGTCATGTGACATGAAATCTCAGGAGAATCACTATCGATCCCTGTCATGGCAATATATTTTTGCAAATAAGACTTCAGGTCGAGTGAGAAACATCTTTAGCATATTTGATAAAATTTCACAACAGCATTTATTGTATCACGACAACATTCATTAACAGAACACTTCCCCTTTTCATCTTATGAAACTTATGACTTCCAGGCTTTTAAAACTTATAATATCTTAAAAAATGTTCTGTCCAAGTAACGTTACGTAGGTTCTGAAAATTTGAGGTGATTTTATTTTAAATATTCATTTATCAATGAGCATGTGTGATGAAGGTGTATTTGTTTCCATATGTTTGTTTATAGGAAATTTTTTCTTGCTTACTTTTTTCCCTTGCCTCATGTCTAATTTGTGCCTTTCTTGGCTAGTACATGTCATTATTATCACAAATAAGAGAAACAGTCTTCGTCCACCCATTAGCCATAACATTTTTTTTTTCTAGTGATTTTGTCTATCAATAGTATGACAAGTTATCTGAATGCTTTTTAACTGGTAACAAGCATTTATCATGACTTGAAGGAAATCTCTTTCAGCATATTTGTATCTATTTTCTGAACTGTAATATCTTTTGGAAATAAATGAAATAAAGTACGCTTGTTTCCTAATTATTTTTTTTAACTGATCCTAGAAAACTCCCACGCAACGATATCACATAAGTTACATTTGTGTCATGGTAATCTGCCATAAAGTATCAAAAACATGTATATCAAATGGTTGCACAACTCACTTTATTTTTATGATGGTGTGAAGAGAAAATAAGTGTGATAAAAAGCTTGCAATGACTGACATTTAAACATAAGGATAAGAGGTAGTCACAGGAGTATTTATATGGAGTTGAAAGTTATGGAAAATGAGTATCTTGCACTTTTGACACCCAACTTCAATGTGAATTTGTTTTTCAGTGATTATGAAGTGAAATCTTTCTTTTTTCTGTTATATCCGTCAAATTATATTTAAATATTCATGTAGAAATTATTCAATGTCCGTCTTCACAATCTCTCTGCTAAAACGGCAAAAATTGTGTATTTTCATCATGTGATATAAGTAATATATGTTGTTCTATTATATATTTTTTTTGAAATTATTTAATATTATTATTATTCACTAGCATCAAACCTGAATAAGGTCTCAAATCAGAAACAAACCGAGACAAATAACCTTTTCTCTAACTTACCTACTTCTTAACACACTATAACTCACCTCTGCTTTCTACAGGTGTTAAATCTGCCAAATCAGCTGGTTCAGTCCCAGTCTTCATTTCCAGAGACGGTAAAGATTCTCTCCCGCAAGAAATTGCGAAAGAAATTTCATCAGTATCAACTCTCAAAGACATTGTGTTCAAGCAGTTGAAGCGCAAAAGCGAAGATGAAACCGTCATAGAGGTTTGTTTATTTTGTCAGCAAATTTTAAAATAGTTGATGAACATTGATTCATGCAATTTGCTTTGAAATATAAATTGATTTATTATTCGTTCAGGAACCACCAACCAAAGTTGCCAAAACTGAAAGTGTTCCAGAAAGCACACTGCCCTCTCACACAGCAATGGAAGAAACACCTTCCGAAACAGTTCCTGCAGTTGAAAAAGTTGAGGATGAAAGCATGGAAGTTGATACCCCAGAACTGGAAAGCGACTCAAAAGTTGAAGGTGATTCATCCAAAAGCATATGACAGTTATAAAGTATTGTTTTGAATTTTTCTTGGTGATTCTTCTACATATTTGAATTTCTCTGAGTATAACTTTGAATTGTTCTTTCCAGAAAAAGCAACTGAGGTTGCTGAACAAGGGAAGCCAACAGAACAAGAAAAACCAGTTGAACCAGCAGCTGAAGAGCCAGAAAATGTTGCTCCTAAAAAAGATGTAGAAGAAAAGGTTCCTGAACAATCTGAAAAAGCTAAAGAACCCAATGAGTCAGAAAAGACTGCCGAACCTGAGAAGGGGACTGAACCAGAGAAGTCTGTTGAAGAAAAGAAGGCTGCTGAACCTAAGAAGGGTGTAGAACCCGAGGCGGCTACAGAACCTGAAAAGGCTGCTGAAACCGAGAAGGCTTCTGAAACTGAAAAGGCTGCAGAACCTGAGAATGCAGTTGAACCCGAAAAGGCTGCTGATTCTGAAAAGGCTGTAGAACCTGAGAAAGCTGCCGATCCCAAAGAGGCTGCAGAACCTGAGAAAGCTGCCGATTCCGAAAAGGCTGCAGAACCTGAGAAGGCTGCCGAATCCGAGAAATCTACTGAACCTGCGAAGGTCGAGGAACCCAAAAAGGTTAAGGAATCTGAAAAAGTTGTGGAATCTGATAAGGTTGCTGGACCCGAAAAGATCGCTAAACCTGAGGAGGTAGCTGAAACCGAAACAGAAACTAAAAAACATGTTGAATCAGCAGAGCCCATAAAAATGGAATGTGAGAAAGTGTTAGAATCCGAAAAATCTGCAGAGACTGAAAATCCCACAGAACCGAAACCTGCTGAAACAGAAACGTGTACCAAAGCAGCAGAATTAGAAGAAAAAATGGAGGAACCTGCCAAAGTGATTGAACCAATTCCTGAAAAGACTGAAGAATCGAAGATAGCCCAAAGTACTGAAGAATCTCCGATGGATTGCGATGACTGTTCTGAAACTGCAAAGACTGATAACAAAAATGAAAACAATGAATGTACTGAGGAAGCCAACGCTAAGAAAGATGAGAATAAAGTAGAAGTAGAAAAAATGGAAGAAGACTCCCCACCACAAGAAGATAATAAGGTAGAAAAGAAAACAGAAGTAACCGAAATGGAGACGAGTAGTTCAACCGAAGTGATTGAGGATGAAAGTAAGAAAGAGAAATTGGTCTGTGATAAAGTATTAGAAAAAAAATCAGAGGGTGAAGTGGAAACAGAAGAAAGTAAAAAAGAAGAAAAAATGGATGAGAGCAAAAAAGAAGAGGACACTAGGATAGAAGACACGAGAGTAGAGACAAAAACAGAAGAGAAACCAGAGAAGACTGAAGAAAAACTAGAAGAGAAAACTAATAGGCAACCAGAGCCAACTACAACAGAAGTGAAATCAGATGAACAGACTGAGTCCAAACCGGAGGAGAGAAAAGCTGAAGATAAATCAGAAAAAAAGACTGAGGAAAAATCGGAGGTGAAATCTGAAGAAAAATCAAATGAAGCGAAAGAAGAGAAAAAAGTAGAACAGGAAACAAAGGAAGAGGCCAAAGTAGAGGAATCGAAAAAAGATGAAGTTGCAGCAAATGGGGTAGATAAGAAAGATGAAGTGAAAGAAAATGGGGAGAAGACCGCTGAAAAAGAAAATAAAAGCGAGCTTGCCAATGGTATCGAGAAGGAGATTGCAAAGAACGGCGAGTCCTCGGAGGAAACAGAAGAAAAGAAACAAAATGGCGAATCAAGCCAGTCCGAAAGCAACGTAGAAGATATCAAAGTGAAAAAAATTGACGAGGCGTCTGAAGGTGCGCCTCCTGTGAGTGTCGAAGTGTAATTGTTCATATTTTATATGTTTGGATGTAATTGTAATGTTGTAGTATTCAGTTTTTTACCTTATTTATTATTTACAAGGAACTCTCTCGTTTAGGTAGGTGCTTTTTTGGTTGTACCGCTTTGTACAGGGTGTTTTAGAGGGAGTGTTTCTAGATCAAAGAAGGTAGAGTTGCTGTACATTTCACTCCTTCGGTCAACTGTTTTACCGCTTTGAGGGATTTTTGTATTCTTTCTATCTTTGCTGTTGTGATCCAAATTGTTCCTGATAGTTCTTTAAAAAGTTCTTCCAAAGCGAAAGTGCCAAGTGATGAGCGAAGACTGGAATACGAAAAGACTAAAATTGGCATTTATATATTTTTGAATTTAGTATTATTTTGCGATCTATTTAATTGCTGTCAAGACTGGATCTTGTATTTCACTGTACAGGGTGTTGAGTGGGTTAGTTTTCTGCACAAAGATATTTCATATTGAAGTATCAGAAGCCAGTACCGTGGACTCTACCACCACTCCCTGGGTCCTGTATAACACTTTAGTTGGATTTCTGTGTATGCCCGATATTTTTTTTTGGCACCCTGTACGTGTATTTTGTTTTTCCAGTATTTGTACTTAGTTTCGATTCGTATAGCATTCCGCCACGTTGACTGTTCACTTTCTTCTGTTCAAAATACTCATTAGATCTGAACTGTTTTTTTTAAATAAATTTCTAACTCGATTTGTGATATACCGCTGAACAAGCGAATTTCATTGACCATCACAATAAGTTTTTTATTTTTTTTGTGTTACTTGTTAGATGTAAGTATTATTTTGGTGTACAGGCCTATAACGGTATATGGCTGCAACTTCTTGTATACGTTCAAGCACCATATTAAAAGTTTTGTAGCGTTCTATTCAATGTTGTTTCATTGTTCCAATGGCTCTAGCAGTAACCTTGATATAGTTCATTTTTCAATGCAATGCAGTACTAATTAGGAGTTGCAGGATATGAAACAACTTTTTAAGAGTTGTATTACCACCTTCATACTTACGGAAAACTTTTTTATTCATTGTTAGTATGCCATTTGAAGTATATGTTTTCCGTTATTTATTACTGCAAACCTTCAAAAATGAACTATAATAGTTGACCGATTTTAACATTTTCTGTCGGTTTTTCACATTATTAATGATATTGAAATCCTTTATTCAGTGAAAACCGCTAATACAATGTTTTATTAATAGAACACTAATGTTTTGGTCAACTGCAAAATGAGCATTGTTCCCAAATACCAAAAGTGTAACACTTTTCTTGAGAGGGGCTTTTTAACTATGAAGTTGCTAAAACATTCTTCGTGAGATATAGACTAATTTCTTAACTCTAAATTTGGTCTATTGATATCTTGTAGGATATACTTCCACTTTTAGGGACACAACTCATGTTTTCCACGTTGGATAAGTACCGTTCGCGATTGAACAAAGTTAAAACTGAAGTGAACAATTTCACAATGAACTTTTCACTTTCAATATCCTACCGACTGCGCCACTAATGTTTCCCAGAAATCCAAAAGACTTCAACGGGTCTCATTTGAAATGCTTTACAAAACAGCCATAGAATAAATGTCTAAAATTGTTGAGATCACTAGACTCTTGGATGCTCTTGAAAGTCTAGACATAGCAAAGTAGTGGCATGCGAACTCGATATAGTAACAAAGGAACTATTCCAAACGGCCCACAATTTATATGAAATACTCTGTTAAAATTTGCAGAAACTATTAGAGAATTTTCCGTCAAATTTCAGAAATCACTGATGTAAGAAGTAAAATACCTTGTATATATAAAAGACCATATTTACAGTTAGGAATCAGTCTCCTGATGAATCCAATTTGGTTGGTGAAACAGGCGTTGAGAAGAGTGTTTCATGTACGCCAGAGGTTCAATTTGTCTGTCTGTCAACTATTTTGAAATTCAGAATGAAAAATAGCTTGAAAAATTGAAATGCAACCTAAACATGAATGCACTGTGGGGGAGAGATAAATGCTTGGAATGTCGGATCGAAACATTCACATTAACGTTTCTAGAAAGTAGAATCTGCCAAAATTCCGTAAGAAAACTGCCTCCCTGGCTAATACCGCGGCTGACATTTCATTGTATTTTGACAGACAATTGTGGAAATTTCCTCATTCTTGTAAATGGTTTTGTTCATCACAGCGTGGCAGGTAGTGTGCATCTTTAGACGATGTCTAAACGTCAGCACTCCATTAGCGACTCAAAAATTGTGTGAAAAGTTTCTAGTCTTACCCAGAGATGGCGCCAGCAGATCTAATTTTTGATTTGTTTTCTAGAGCTTTCCGAGTTCACACAACTTTTGTTAGTCAGTGCTTGGAATGGGTTCAAAACTAAATTCGTCTATTTTGAAATTTTAAGGAGTATAAAGTGACGAAAATTCAAAGAGATACACGAAGAAAGTATAAGGTAATCTCCATCCGGACAAGAAGTGAACAAATTGCTCAGAGAACCCTAACAAACTTAACAATAATCTTTTCCATTTCCTAGATCACTTAGAAATATTAATTGTCATATTAAATTCACAAACTCTACCAAGGAAGATGTTTTCATGAAAAGGGCTTTTTGCTCTTGTGATGAGTTTCGACCATGATAAGCTTATTGATTTTCTATAATTCTTGTTGTCTAAAAATAAACTAAATGCTCAAAACCACAATTTCATTCTATTTACATTGGATAATAAAAACAATTAAAAAATTTAACAAACTTATATAGATAAAACCACCTTCTCACAAATCTAAAGTGACACAGTAGCAGTCCTGTTATTATTTTTTCTCAGGATTGTTGATTTAATCTTTGATTGTTTTGAAAAACAAGCAATGAAAAGTCGAAAGACAAACAGATGACCCTCAACAATCTCGAGAAATCACAATATGGTAAAACATAATCTTGAATGCTTCATTTGTCACATATACATCAATTTAATTAAAATATAAAAGGAACAAATGTTTTTGATGTATTCTACTATTATATGGTGGATAGAGATAAAATATTTCACTTCTTTTGCTGAGACAATTCTAAGTTACTTAAAACTGAAATCGAAGTGTTGAGTTAGTTATACCACATAGGAATATTTTGGATTTTATCACAGTTGATAGTAGCACCAGTAACATTTGAGAAAATCCAGCTACAAACTTTAAAACTGATGAAACTGCAAAATCAGTCATACCCAAATTCAAGTACTGAATATTCTAATCTAGTTGAAAATCTACCCCAGAAATAAAATATTTCCAAATATCCCATTCTAAAATGAAAAATATCATGAAAGTGAAATATCTACTCGAGTTTTCTGTTTTTACTTGAAGGCATCTCCTTAGAAACAGGCTCATCCACTTCTTTGCGCTTCACAGGTTTGTCAAGTAATACGTCTTCAAAGCTGGAGATTATTGGAAACTCTTTAGAATCTTCTGCTGGTAAAGGGTCATTTCCTTCACGTCTGATGACAGTTGCAACTAGGCCTGCTGATTTTGCAGCCTTGGCCTCTGTAAAAAAGGGAGTAAATTAAAAAAATTAAAGTAATAAAAAAGCTTCATAATAACCACATCCAAATCATGTTTTTATTCATCAGTGATTATGAAATCATTTTTCAAATATTGGATGTTTCAAAAGTTTTATCCATTGGGATGTCATTGTTTTTGTAGCTCCATATTCTCTAGTTACTCACCTTTGACATTATCTGTAATAAAAACGATTTCTTCAGGTTTGACTCCCAATTCTTTGGCAATTTTCTCATAGCTTGCCGATTCGGTTTTGTTACCAACACTTTGATCAAAATACTTTGAGATATAGTTTGAGAGGTCTCCTTTTGATGTATGGGCGAAGAGAAGTTTTTGAGCCTCTACACTGCCTGTCGAGTATATGGCAACTTTTCGAGATTCAGACCAAGATTTGAGGCAGGCAGGAACATCGGAGAATACACTATACATAAAATCAAAACAATAATAATAAATGATTGAAACTGAACTGGGCGATTATCAAAATACTTGGAATAATCTATAATTTTCAGGTGACTTGTATTCACAAATTTTTACAAAAATTGAATTTTTCAAATAGTCACTGAAAAATTGCTTACTGGGATTTAAGGTTTCCACTTTCATAGCCTTTTTTGGAAATCAATCCTTGTAGAGTCTTCAGTCCTTTATTATCACTGTTTTTTTCTGTCAATTCTTTGATAATTCTAACAGTTTCTTCAATATCGACTGCATCATTTTTGAGAATAAGCCTTATTGCTTCTTTCACGTCTTCATCTTCCCATGATTTTTTCAAATATTCTTTAGCTTGCTTCAATATATAAGCAAACAGGGTATCCTAAAATTGATTACTATGAATTATTACATATGACCTCTCTTTGAACTGATAAGGGATTTTTTATTTTTGAATATACTTTATATATAGTCAAATCAGAAGGTTACTAGAAAAAACTGAAAATATTTTTAATTATACTGAAACTAAGAGGTATTAAAGCAAAACCAAAAGTCTTAATACACATTTCAAAACATTTTATACTTTGTTGAAAAAATGCGAAATTGATCTCACCTTCAAAAACGTATTGGAAGTAGTTGTACCTGCAACATCCAATAAAACTATAATGCATTTCTTCGAATCCAAGAGAGGTGTTATATTTTCCGAGCTCATAATTATTTACTTTATTTTGTGAATATAAACAGAACTCCCCACTAGAGCAATTCACTATTCACTAATTTTCATATTTTCAAATTCCTGCTTGTTGTCCTGCCAATCAGTAGCCCACACTGTTGCCATTTCATATTTTAATTTTGAACTGATAAAGTCCTTAGTCGACTATTGAGGACGCTACGGTATCTAATCCTCATTACATAATTTTGGAAGACTATATAATTCTTGATATAGTTTTATTGAATTATGGCGTATACAGGATGCATATTCGATATTGATGTCACAACAAATAGTATAGGGTGACATATTTAATTCGATAATACGTAGAATCTTTGTAGTAGAATTCACAATTATGGTATTTAATGACTGTTTAGTTTCTTTTTGAAGGAAAAGGAAAAAGGAGTACATCGACAAAAATACAAATACAAAATTAAATATTTCCAATAAGAAAACATTTCTAATGATGAAGGTGATAATATATTCAACAAATGGTGACTTTAAATGGTAAACAGCTGATCTATAAAGCTTAATGTAGATCCTGTTTATTCTGTTTTTGCTGTGTTTCAAGCAGTTGAATATTTCTGAGAAGTGTTTTTTGATTATTATAAAGGTGAACTACTGAACAGGTAAGTGAAATACAGGAAACCACCAATGAGAAGCACATGAAACTGCAGTGATTTGTGTTAGACAGGACTTTGTAGACGTCGTATTTAGTCAATGAACTCTGTGAAGTCGATGTAGGCTGAATTTTTCAAGTATACAACCAACAAACTCCAGTTTTAAATATCAATATCATGTTTAAAGTCATTTTTGGCTACTCCTGATTTTCTTTTCGTTGTTACTCTGGTTATAGTATATGATGAGCTCTTTTTTTCAAATATCTTTTTCGCGTTGGTGGATCCACTTGAAGATCGAACCAAAGTTTTGTTAACATCGAGTAGATATGTTTGAATTTGAGTTTATGAGATAGTAGACCTAAATCAGGAAAACTCAACAATACACTATCGTCTTCTATGATCACAAATGACTGAGCCTACAACAAAAAAGCGAAAAGAGCTGCGCTGGATGAAACCTGAATGATACCGCTGAACGGTACATTATCTGTGTCGAATGTTATGTCAATATTAATAGATGTATGAAATATAAAGCCGAAACAGTTTAGAGAGCAATACTTTTTCTGAACATTGTTTTTTCATGATCATTTTTAAACATATGCCAGTTATTGCAAAAGGATTCGGCAATTACTGTCTATCACATTTAAAAGTGAAGCGTTATAACCGATAGAAGCTGTTGGAAGCAAGCATTACCTTACTGGTGCTATAACCGAACGCATTTATATTTAATTTTATCTTTCTGAACTTTTACGTGACATTACAAGTTCTATCCATCAAACCCTACTTTTTTCTCAGAAACTTTTTTCATCATTATATTTCGGCTATTGGTCAGTAGATGGCTAGATTGCAGTAACACCCGGCTGTAACCATGACGACGACAGCTTCATCTTCCAGAGTTGCTGGCGCACGTCGTTGGATCAAATACACCGGTTCGCGATTTTTGTTCCGCAGTCAAGCAAAAACGTTCCAAAGCTAAGATCATAGCACGCTTCGCGTTCCACACACGAATGTCGCGCAAAACAGAGACTCGAAAAATTTATTGAGACGTACGTAAAGTGTCAACACGAAAATACAAAAGTAAGATTATTGTTTTTATTGCTGTTGTGATTTACTGCGTGTACTTCAACTTTGTTTTATTTCATGTTTTCGTTAATTCAATATGTTTTTGGGAAAATTTCAATGGCTAAACTTTTGGGGAGAGTTCTGGAAGGATTAGGGAAGAGCTTCGCTGGTGCCAAACTCGTAAAATATGGAAACAGATTAGAATTGATATTTTAGGAATGCCAAAAATGTGATGTTTAGTGGGCAGTGCTAATTTATAGATATAGATAATCCTATCAAGCATTTCTCGCAGTTATAAAATAATTTTATGAAAATAGTTTCAGTCAGTGTCATCAAGAAAATATCCCGTTTCGTGTAGCAAAATGTTTATAGCTGCTTCTCTTCCGTTCATCTTCACTCTTGTTCATTCAAAATTCACTTACATTACTCGTGTTAGTTAATTTTTTCACGTAGCAACCTGTTGTTATCTCATAACAAGAATGCCCTGACCATGGGCACGAAGCCACTGACAGACACACCCTCTTATTTGACAGCCACTGCCAAAAACCCGAAAAGCAGTTGATTACTAGAAACAACTGCAGCGTCCTCGTTTGAAATTCCGTTTACCCTTCTCAAAAAGCCATTCATAACTGTTTATGTCAATAAAGATCCTCAACAATCTATAAACAATGGTGTTTGCTTTCGGATTGTTATCTTTATCCCCTTTATGAGATTGCTAGATCGTCAAAAAGGGAAGTGTATTCCGAGGAAATACTACTCTTTATTGTTTTATTTTTGGAGAGAAGGTTCCTAGAAGGCATTGTTCCAGTTTTTTGGTATTAGAAGTGTGTTGTGATTCGTTTTTTGAACAAAAGCAGCATGCTCCCACGATCCTATTGGATTCCTATGATTTTTTTGTGTTTATCTACATCTGAGTTGTTCCTCTAGCTGAGAAAGAAAAACCAAATTTTCAGTTCAACAGTTTTTTTTCTTGTGAGCATTCGAATTCCAATGGCAAAAATTGGTCACCTACACTGAAATTAGCCAAATGTGGGGCTGTTTGGACGTATATCGAACAAAAAAATTCCACATTTGAAAATTTTCAATTTTTTTCAAAAAAGTACCAAATCTTGTGGAAACCGTTGTAGGTAAAAACTAATAGAGGAATGTAATTTCCACTCACAAAGTAGTATTATTAGAATCTCCTGTTGTTTGTTTCGACAGTTTTTTACGTTTTTTTATGAGCCAACTTTGAACTTTAGTTACTTCAGAAAATACTCATTCAATTTAATCAAAATAAGCGCTATTTGAATCAGTACACTTCCAAGTCGATTGATTCCGTCAGCACGAAAATTGTGTGCGCGGGATTTGATGAAGTCGACGATGGCCGTTTTTACCTGGTTCTGGTTGGCGAAGGTTCTACAGTTGGCGAAGTGCTTGAAAAGATGGTAGTCGATTGGCGAGAGGACTGGGCAGTATGGTGAGTGAGGCAAAACTTCAACGCTCAATTCGTTTAATTTTCGGATGGTGATTTGTGAAACCTGAGGACCGGCCTTGTCGTGGAGTAGGATCGGACCGCTTCTGTTGACCAGTGCCGGTTGCTGCTGACGCAATTTTCGGTATATTTCGTCAATTTCCTGTGATGGTTTGGCCCGATTGCAGAAACTTATAGTGAATCACACAAGCCGCTGACCACCATACAGTAACCATGGTATTTTTTAATGGGTTTTCGCCTTTGGGACTTGCCTGGGTGGCTCATTGGTGTCTAACCACTGTCCTGAACATCTCCTGTTGTAGATGATCCACTTTTCATCACAAAAGCAAAGAAGAACAGATTTCGAAACGTGACAATTTCTGTCGATCGTTCAAATCCTGGGGCAGCTACTTTTTGAACTTTTTGACCTTTCCAATACGTTTTAAACCATCAAATGCCGCGTGGGAGCTGACGTCCAATTCTTTGGCCATTTCAAGCATCGTTTGTGATGGATCAGTCTCCACCAGGTGGAGCTACAAAAAAAACATTACACTTGAAACAACCTAATAATCTGCTTCAGAAATTGTTGAAGTTCAAAAATCTCATCGATTTTAATATACGCATTCAACCAAGAGATCCAATAATTAATACAACCATTTTGGATAGAGTCTGCGTATTAGTACTATGAATATAGGCTGTAATATATCATTATTATTACTATTATTAACAAAATAAAAAACTACAGCAACAAGTTCGTGGTGTACTTTTTTCCCAATGCCAACAGAGACTCCATTGGACCTAATAATTTCAATGTAGTTGGGCTAAATAAGCACCTCATTACTTCAAATAACTTTAGCAAATTTCAACCAAATCGGTGTAAGGATATTTATGATATTTAATAAATACCTTTTTTTCATCTTCAACGCCTTGTGTCCCAGAAACAAAGCAACTTCGAACTTTTTTTTTTTTAAATGACCTAAAGAATCACCCTCTGAAGTTTCGTTCCATAGTTAGGAAACACCCTTAATAAATAACCTTGTAACGAGAATTTCAATTGCTGTCGTCTCGAGTGTCATATTCTGGAGTATGTGCTTGTTTACAGATAAAACATGAATAAAAGTCTTCTAACTTTGTCCACCATTTCCTGTTAACTTCCCACGTTTTCCATAGTTGAGCTTATATAGAGATTATGACATATAAAAGGATCATAAAATTTGTCTCCATGCATTTCAATGAATAGTTTTATAGACTCGCATACACATGATTCACAATTTTTATTGGAACTATTAGAAAGCATTCTCTCGATGGAATTTACGATACTGTATCATCATGTGATAAATTAATTGTCATTTTTTTAAATTAGGCAAGGAATGTTATCAGCAATCAAATTAGTTTGTTGATTGTGTTGAGGACATATACATACATCAAGGAAATCAATATTCACGTGGAATTTGGTGGGTGCCAGTGAGAAAATAACTACTTCCCTGGCTGATGCCACTCCGATTTATGATGGAATCGTCCGATACTTCGAACGACGATAATAAGCATCATAAGACATGCATGTACTTTCGTGAACCTACCAATGACATCGCTAGATTTTTGAAAAAGAAACTGGCCGTTTCTTACAGAACAAAAAGTAATTTAGGCTAATTTATTGAAACAATAAAGACAAAACTTCAGCTCCATCTCGTGAACTAAGCCTCAAGTGGGGAAGGACATCTCCTGTTACAATACTCTAACAGAGATAAACACGTGTCTGAAGACTGTGTCGAACAGAGATACATACGTATAAAAATATTTCGAACTACCCAACAGAGTAGGTTCTGGTAAATGCCTGCCGGAAAACAACTACTTCCCCGGCTACTACCACTGACAGGCTTGTCTGGTTATCACTGGTGTCATCAGTACCACAACGTCAGTGGCCCTGGAGATGCTTCTAGATCTACTTCCTCTCCACATTTTTCTGGAGAGTCTAGATGGACTGCATATAGACTTGTGCACATTGCCAATTGCACAAATCAAGTGAATGCAGAGTGCAACAGACTGTTGGTTAACACTAGAAATCACAGCATTCTGACTTCATGCCTCCAACTGTCAACTACGAACTGTCTTATAAAGTACTATTCCCGAGTAGAGAGGACTGGATCCTCCGGGAGAAGGAAATATTAAGAGCAGATAGTTGTTGGTTCACAGATGGATCAAAAACACCTTCCGGTTCTGGTGCAGGTGTTTTTAGTCTCAGATCCAGGACAGAGATATCTACCTGCCTAGGAACTTATGCGACTGTATTTCAAGCGGAAATTTACGCTATTGAATTGTGTGCGGAGAGATTGGATAAATACAACCTCACACACAAGTCAATAAAAATATTCTAGGACAGTCAAGCGGCGTTGGAAGCTCTTGGCTCCTACCGAGCAACGTCTAAATTGGTAGCAAATTGCCAAAAACGACTCTCCTCGATAGGAAGACTTAACAGATTGTCTCTGGTCTGAATTTCTGGCCATACTGGCCTGGAAGGTAATGACGCTGCTGATTCTCTTGCAAAGGAGGGTGCTGCAAGTGGCTCCATCGGACCAGAACCTGTCATTGGCATCGCTTTGGGCTTTGCCAAACAAACATTGAACACCTGGATGGCAAGAAGATTTATGGACTTCTGACAGAATCTTCCAGGATTGGCTCACTCCAAGGCGTTTATCCACCCTTCGAAGCTTGATACCAAACAGTTGTTGGACTACAGTAGGTATGAACTACGATGTCTAACAGGCCTTCTTACTGGACACTGTCATTTGAATCATCATATGCAGAGACTTGGACTGTCGGAAGACAATGTGTGTCGCTTCTGTTTGGAAAATGATGAAACAGCAGATCATCTGACCTGAAAGACCACTCACCATACAAACTAATCGGCTTCGTTAAGAAGCTGGGTTTATTTGGCCGAGTGTGAATAGGTGTGAGCCACAATATACCCTTGCGGGTTGCGGTGGAGGGTCGAATAGACCCACTCACTTTAGACCTAACCTAACTTAACCTAATACCACTTGGATATTGAATTATATCCGACAGACATTTATGCGAGATATTTCACAAAGGTTGGTCTAGTTACTAGTTAACAATCTTTCTCTTAGATGCAGGTTTCATACATGTAGTCGAACCGCGTTGAAATGAATCAAGTCCCAGGTGCTTTGTTGTTTGGGTCGAATCTGTCCTGCACTGATGGGGGGTGATACCTCCCATACATGTCTTTCGAATATAATTCAATATCTTGCGTGGTATCAGCCGGTGAAGTAGTTGTTTTCCGGCAGGTATTTACCAGAGCCTACGGTGTAGGTAGTTGAGGAAGGTAAATGTTTACAGATTTCATTTCGAAATATTCAATTTCTTATGCTTCTTTCTTTGTCAAGCAGCAGAACTTCTCTGAAATATATCAAGTAATCACCCTCAGACAGGTTTCAGAATCAGGTGAGACTGGAGTCATTTAACTACAACATAGTTATGTCAGTCATATGCATTTAGTGAACAGAGCTACAAATTGGAAAGAACCGCCCCGTGTACCAAAACTCAA